CTCCCAACTTTGTGTCATCCACAAATTTTATCAGGACACTTCCACTTTTGGTGCCAAGGTCAGCGATAAAAAGATTAAATAAAATTGGCCCCAAAACTGATTCCTGAGGAACTCCGCTAGTAACCTTCCTCCAACCTGACAGTTCACCTTTCAATATTACCCACTTTAGTCTCCCCTTTAACCAGTTACTTATCCACCTCTCAACTTTCGTATTAATCTCTATCTTTTCCAATTTAACCAATAATTCCCCATGTGGTACTGTATCCAATGCCTTACTAAAGTCGAGGTAGAATAGATCCACTGCATTTCCTTTATCTAAAAAATCTGTTACTTTCTCAAAAAAGGAGGTCAGGTTGGTTTGGCACGATCTACCTTTTATAAAACCATGTTGTAATTTGTCCCAATTGCCATTAGCCTCAATGTCTCTAACTGCTTTCTCCTTCAAAATTTTTTCCAAGATCTTGCATACTACAGATGTCAAACTAACAGGCCAGGCCTATAGTTACCCGGGTTGCTTTTTTTCCCTCTCTTAAAAATAGGAACTATATTAGCAATTCTCCAATCAAATGGTACAACCCCAGAGTTTAGAGATCATTAGCAAAAATTTTTAATTAGACTTGCAATTTCATGTGCCAGTTCCTTTAATATTCTTGGATGAAGATTATCTGGGCCCCCCAATTTACTCCCATTAAGCTGTTCAAGTTTGGCTTTTACCTCGGATATGGTAATATCTACCTCCATATCCTTATTCCCATTTTTTAATATTACCATTATCCCTAAGCTCTTCATTAGCCTCATTAAAGACTGAAAAAGTATTTGTTTAGATATTGGGCCATTCCTAGATTATCCTTAACCTCCACTCCATCCTTAGTAATTAGTAGTCCTATTTTTTTTTTCCTATTTATATGGCTATAAAACCTTTTACTATTGGTTTTAATTCTCTTTGCAAGGTCCAACTCTACCTGACTTTTAGCCTGTCTCACTTTGTCCCTACATGCTCTAACCTCAATAAGGTAGCTTTCTTATTGTTGACCAACTAAGTTCATTAGCTGCTTAGCTGTGTACATAAAGTTGGTAGAATCTGTGAACCTCAAAAAAGGCGGGTTTTTCTTTTTAAGGTGAGGCATTGGCTGCCTCTCCAAAATTACCTTAAATGTGGATCACTAAGTCGTCAAGCATTGCCAGGAGGTATACCAGGTTTCAAGGCAATCTTTATTCATCATAACCAATAAGAGACAAAACCTAGCTTTATAATTCAAGAATTAATATTATAACTCTGATGTAATCATCCGTGTAGAAAAGATACATTACAGAACTGTTTCAGTCATAAGTTTGTGATGGATGCATTTGATTAAGTTCTAATAAAGATCCTGAGCCAGCTTCCTCCAGTTTCTCTCATACACTTGTTAAAAAAAGTCTCCCAATTAGTCTGCTCCCGCTTTTTTCTCCTTCCCATTTTAACTTTTAAAAATATCAGTGGCTGGAGGACAATTAAAACAGATGGGAATCCCTGGGCATAAAGAGCATTTCACCTGCTTCTGAGTACAGCAGCAAGGGATTATGCATGCATTGATCCGAGGAACACAGAACAGCAGCAGATGCTTAAAAACTTTTCATAGCTCTTGATAACCAGACAAAAACTAGCTATTTTCTCTAATGGTACAATGATTGCAAAGCATAAGGCCAGCATGTACATCCCAAGAAGCATTCAGGAATCTAGGATCCTAGTCTTTAAAGCAAATGCAGCACTGAGCTTCTGCATGACATCTGCATGGCTCAGACCACAATGTTCTTTTTTAGTAGTCCCATAGTTTTCTTTCACATATTTTGCAAATGGTGTTAGCAGTGCTCTAGCAGGAGTACCATCCTTCCGTGTTGGTTGGCACAGGACCAAAGGTCCCTTACAGTATGCACAAACAAAGCGTTCTGTGTCCAGTGACTTGGAATGGCGCCCAATCCTAAAACAAAAAGTCAATTTAATGCCTGAGCCTGGAGATACCTTGGAATAATCACTTAAAGGTGCAAATTGTTCACTTTCAGACTAAGTGTACTTAACAGTACAGCGTTATTTCAAAATACCTGATTTCAAAATAGTTAATTTGAAATAAGATATTTTTAAATAACGCACACACAAAATCCATTTCAAAATAGCATTTTGCTATTTCGAAATAGCGCGTCCACACTGAGTGGCCTCTGAATTGCATTTAAGGCTGGCTGGAACCAGTTCCGGCAGGGCACCAGGTCAGGACTTACTGTGAGGGGCTGCTACCTGAGGCTATCTGAGGCCTGTGCTTAAAGGGACTCTTCCCCCCCCCCCCCAGCCAGTTCTCAGGTTTCCCTGCTTTCTTGTCTTCCTCAATGAGGAACAGCAAAGCATTTGTCTCTGTGTGCTCTGGTTGCCCTCACTCCGGACACCACAGCACTCTGCAATATGGAGCCAGAGCTGCTCCTGGGCACTCTGGTGCTTCTACTGGATGCGTTGCTGCAAGCCTGGCTGCACTTTCTGCAGGCTGCCATCCGGGATGTTGATCGGGGAGCTGTCAGTATCCAGGAGGCCCTGTGGGAGAGCTTCCATCCTGAGGAGCACTAAAAGACTCCCTAGTCTGCCCCACTGGGGGCTTGTGCCTCATTCCTCCCTCACGTCCTTCCACTTACCCCTCCCTAACCCCCCTTCCTGATGTCAAATAAAATGCATGTATTTTCAGAGTGGTAGAAATGTAGCCGTGTTAGTCTGGTGTAGCTGAAACAAAATACAGGTCTATGTAGCACTTTAAAGACTAACAAGATGGTTTATTAGATGATGAGCTTTCGTGGGCCAGACCCACTTCCTCAGATCAAATAATGGAAGAAAATAGTCACAACCATATATACCAAAGGATACAATTTAAAAAAAAATGAACACACATGAAAAGGACAAATCACATTACAGAACAGAAGGGGGATGTGGGAAGGAAGGTGAATGCCAGTGAGTTAATGATATTAGAGGTGGGGAAGGGGAAATGTCTGCGAGTTAATAGTATTAGAGGTGATAATTGGGGAAGATATAGTCCTGTATTTTGTTTCAGCTACACCAGACTAACATGGCTACATCTCT